CCCGATTACAATTCGGCTCGATCGTATTTCAACGCGTTCAGAGCGGAACCCCGTTCGCCATACGCGTCCGTGAGAATAGAGCTGCCAATCTCTTTCCCTAAATGAAATTCAATTCCGACCACGCGTTATGTGCAGGAAAAAATGTTGCGGCTCGGCGCCGCTACGATGGCGAAAATATTTTTTTCGTGTAGCTACAGGAATTAAAGTAACGGGGCGTGGAAGCGGAAGAACGTTAAAGGCGTCTAGCGCCTACGTTCTGCATATACGCGCAGTTAAAAAAACAAAGAAGAAAAACAAAAATTGTGTAGGTAGTTTGCTGCCACGTAAAATGCAATACGCTTTAGGGAAGACCCGTACTGGAACGGTTCTGTTCGATAAAATCTGCATGTTAATGCGTCCCGCTGTTTTATTTTCAACAATTTTTGTTTTTGCTTGCAACATTTTTATACGCATTTCACTCGTTTATAGCTCCATTTCTTCCTTTTACGATCGCACCTATAATGTTCATCCAATATTTCTATACCTAACGTTGTAAAATCGTACTGATAGGAAACGCGTTCTCTGCTATATCAGGTTTACGTTCCCAAATACTTCGCACAATTCACACCAGTTTTTAATTTATATTTTAATTTGGAAACATTAATGTATGATTATGAGATAGATTTCCAAAATGATAGAATTATCTGAAAATTCAATTAATCCGGTTGATAATCAAATAATTAATACAGTCGCGTCGAAAAGGGAATTGATTAATAATTCAAATGATATTTCCGCTTTATCATCGTTACTGATTAAGAGAGACAATGGATGTCGTGCTGTCCGCAGCCGAAACCGAAGATTCAACTGAATTTTCACGTTTTCTTGTGACGAGAATTTCTTAACGAATTCACAGACTGTCATAACTGTACAATATTAAATCAAATAGAAATAGATAAATATAAGCAAGTTCCTGAAATAATGATTATTTAATTTTTGACAGTAAGTCCATTTGCATTTGGTTTTCGATATTCACAGTTCTCGGCAATGAAATACCGTGAATTGTTTAATGTGCAAACATAGGAAATGTTATTTGGAAATACCGGAAACAATGGATAAAATTCAGTATGCATATAATTAAATTTTTCACGAAATATAATACAGTCTACACCCACAAATTGAAGGCATTGTACATACTATATATATTGAACACTTTCAATTGGTTTTATAGTTATGGCACACAGTACAAAATCCCAAGCCCACATTCATCACCTCGAATACCGTTTTTTATAGACAAATACGCTACGTCGTCGTAAAAAAAGAGTTGAAGGTTGTTTAATATCTCCCTTTTCTCTCTCTCTCTCTCTCTTTTTTCTATTCTTTTTTTGGAGAGTGAATCTGCCTCGATTTAACTCCCACGGGGTTAAACGATACGCGTTGGATACACCTACGATGCGACGAGCAAGTGCATTCAAGCGGAGGTTTTGACGGATTACCGGCAAAGAATTCGTGCGTCTGCGACATTAATTTAAAATAGATACCGAGGTATCGATCTTCTCGCCGTAATTGAATACATCCAGCTTTGTCAAGCGTAAGAAATATTGTTGAATCAACAGAACCCAGAGTAAAAGTGTTAGATTTTAACTTAATCTTAATTGGCCTTGGAGAATAAAATTCTTATCCAAGCATGACTTGGAATAAGAAATATTTGTAGACTGATTAAGCTGTAGACTATTCATTACATTAATTGAATCCTCTTTTACGCTGTCGGTACAATTACAAAGATAAACGCGGCCTCGAAAGACAGGCGATACTCCTAATTACAAAACGGAGCGATACTTTGCGACTACATCCCCGATGCGGAATAAATAAATTCGAAAACAGTCTTGATCTTCGAGCTTTCAGCGCATGATGGACAAGTTTCCCTGGTTGAAAACCGCGAGACCCCCTCGGGATATTGATTAACGCCGAGAAATCCCGTTCACCGTCGTCATTACTTTTACTTTAAACGCGGCGAAGAGCACTCCAGGAAGAAGGTCAAAAAGCATTAGCGTGTGCAAAAGCGTTCCTTGATATTTAAATACCTTTAATCCGGACCACTTCAAACCTTCCACTGAACGGGCAATTTCCTTTTATATATATCGTTAATTATGAGTAAGAGAAGAATTGCCAAAAGGAAATTTCCGCGATCAACAGATTTGCACAATTAATAAAACACGATGTTTAAAACAATTTCGAATATATTACTGAAATTATTAATAACAATTAATTGTACTGTTCAATTGGAATTTAAATACTAGTGGCAACTTTTTTTTAGTTTTCCAAACCTATCAGTGTACTTCTTCAAAAACTAATCTGCACTGCGTTTTTCCGTGCAACTGAAAAAGCAAAGTGTGTCATAACAGTGTCAGTAATATGTTAACACTCACGCCAAACTCGATAAAATTATCTACCATATATTCTAACTTTAACATCAGTTCCAAGGTAAAAACTGCATTTAAACTTTTCGAGGAAATTGTTGTATGTAGCTGTAATTGTCAGATAAATATAATCAGTAGAGGATCAAATAAGGTCCTATGTAATTACCTCGTTACAATTGTTTTCATTTTGACATGTCAAAATTATGTCCAAATCTAGGAGCATCAATGCCAGATTAAGTACAGGAAAGAAGACATAGACTTATTACTGTTTTCTAATTTTCTCCTCTTAGGGGAAATTAATACAAGTCGGAGCAGGTCAGAAATCATTGTCCCAAGCTGTACGTTAACACATTATAAAATATCTCATATGAACTTGATATTTTCAATCAACATGCACTTAATTACTACTACAACATGAAACGTACTGTAATAATTTTTTATACGAATTTTAACACTTAAAATGATTAAAACACAAACACGGTACGGGCGATAACGCAAGTGAAAACGCAGATCCAAAGTTATGGGCAGCGCGCGGCGAAACTACGGCGAGCTTTTGTGAAAAATGACAAAAATTTTGCGGATCGTGCGTGACCGGGTTCTAATACGTCGGATCGTTTTCCTCAAACCCCGGCGTTACTTTCCCGACTCACGACACTCCGTCATTCTGTCCTCCAAAGTACACGCCACTTTCTATAAATCGATTCCGCAGCCACGATACGTTACGATTATAGCAGTACGATCACACGTTGTTCCATGGTTGAGATATCATAGCGAATATCAATCTTTAAAAAGTGTATTGAGATTTCATTTACTAAATACAAGCTATTTTAACGAAAATAAAATTCAGTA